GGAGGAGGAGGAGGAGGAGGAGGAGGAGGAGGAGGAGGATAATGTACCTAGTTTGGGATGCATCTCGGATTTTGCAAACCTCAGTTCTCCAACTGGTGGCTTCGCATAAGGAATTCCACGAAAGCTGACGTAAGAACGGCCATTGATAGCTTGGTGTTCGCTTCCCTCTATCACTCCAAAAGAAGAATCCACTGTGACAGAAGCGAGCAATGGCTGAGCAAAGCACAATATGAAAGCAACGTGCAAAGCAGAAAACCTTTCCATGTTGTAGTCCTCTACGTATGACGTAACTTCGAGACGGATTGTGTTGAAAAAGTTAGTACAAACTGACCACCGTTCACAGATTCCTTAGTCAGTCTGGGTCATGGAACACAATTCTGAAAAGAGGGGGGAGAGGGTGTTGTTTCGTTTTTGTTTGTGGGTGTTTTGTTTTGGGATTTGGGGGTACTTTTTTTTAATGGTAAGGATGAAAAAAAAACTGTTCTGATTTCTGAAGCTAGATTCTATGTGCTTTTGGCTGAATTAGATCTCAAGATTTTTTGGATGAACATATGTATGTCTTTCTTCTTTAAAAAAAACAACAACCAAAAAATGACTGATTAATTGGTTTGGCCTAATGTATTTATTTTATCCTGTTTTTTACTTATTAACTTAAAATTTAGTCTGCTTTTTTTAAATAGAAAACAAAAATGAATTAATAAACTTATTCATTATATCTTCCTTATAAAAATTTCTTTACCTAAGTTGTAGTCTAGGGAGAAGCCTTTAAATTGCAAAATCCCACGTAGTTTGCAGGTTCAGGCGATAGCCTTGACGAGCAAAACTTTCAAATTCATATTATATCAAGCCAAGAGCGATAACTTTAATCATTATATATTATAAAGCTAAGCCAAATTATTTATAGCTGTATTAATCTATTTTTCGGTTTAATCTAAGTTTGTCTCACAATTCGATTTCCCGCTATTATAGAGGACGCAAGACGGACACAAAAAAATAATATAACAACTCCAGATCTCTGCCTTTGTTCGGAAACCGCACTCTCCGACGTCCGAGTTCCACAATGAGGGAACAATGATTTATTCCGGGCCTACCGTCCGCACAGCATGACGGGCCCGACACCTGATCCCAGGACGCACGGGGCTATACTTGGCGTGTTCAGCAACCGCGCTGGTTCTCAAACTGACCTGGTATCTGCCAGCAGGAAACATGGCCATAGCTACGGCCCTTGACCTTAACCCTTTTCATCTTCAACGGCGATCTGACGTTAAGTCCAGTGTTGTGATTGTCTGGCTCTGTATGCCGGTTATGTGGGGAAATGACTAATGGTGACAATCAATAACCGTTCACGGAAATAATCTTTAATTTGTAGGAACTCTTAAGTGGCTCTTTCTGAAGGATTTTTTAAAAAACTTTAATAATTAAAAATACTGAAAACGTATAATCTTTTTTTTAACGAATGGGAGAAGTGTCTCTTTTTGCAGAAATCTTTAAAATTAAAAAAATTATAAATAGCCACGCGTGGAATTAAATTTCCTGCAAGGCACTCGATCATCTGCACTCGCCAATGGAAAAAAAAATCGGCGAAAATTATCAATAGAATGATTCAACATTTGGCTAATTTTGGCCTATGAGGATACAACCTAAGAATGTTTGATGTCAAAATTTTCCATAAACAGGCTTTATCACCTGAAACCAGATACCGTAGGAGCAATTATTGTGACACTTTTTCAACTCGGTGCAGTGTCTGACTCTCCCGTCCTTCCTCTCATTTAGCGTACTATTTTTACATAGACATATCAACGCGATAACGGTCATTTAGGGCAGGGGACAGACAGACAGATAGACAGACAGACAGACAGACAGACAGACAGACAGACAGACAGACAGACAGACAGAAACAATCGAGAAAGAAAATCGGTAGGACCTACCAGTGACGCACTCCAAACATCAGCGATATTAGAGTTTTGAAAACAGCGTAAAACTTCCGAAACACGTACGTGTCGTTGAAAATCCAGGACAAATGCGTGAAACATAAACGGGTATCATCATTTCTAATTCACACAAGCGTTGAAAGACCAAAAATTGTTTCTTTCCGTACCTCAATTTTAACGGCGTCGATATCATTATTATTTGAGCTGTTTTTTACGCACTGTGTTTCGTTTTAACGACTCACACAACACAATAGTCTTTCGTGCAACTCGTGGAAAGGAGGACATTGGTTGTCAAGTAAACAACCTCGTAAAAGTTAAGATTTTTTTCAAAGATAACTATCAAAGGTATGAGTTACGGTGAACTGTGTGCATGACAATAACGATCTTCAAGCCTGTATCGGTAGCAATGGGTACATTATTATTGTATGTGATGCTCCTTATTGTCCTTATTTCTGACCCCCATTCTTAAGTTCTTTGAAACGGCTTTTATTCATGGCGCAAACACACACACACACACACACACACACACACACACACACACACACACACACACACACACACAAACACACACACACACAACCACCACCTCCACCATTG